CAGTGGGTGGGGAGTGAGGGTGGAGGGTGGGGCGGGAACTGGGAGGAGGGGAGTTATGGGGGGGAAAAAAAGAGGAACAAATGTAATCTGAACAATAAAGATTTAATAAAAAAAAATTCAAAGTAAACATCATTACATAAAAGGGTACGGTCTTTTTTTTTTTTTTTAGTTTTATTCATTTCAAACGGGCTGGATCCGGCCCGCAGGCCATAGTTTGCCCACGGCTGCTCTAGTTAGTAGAAAGTTTCTTTCCCTCCCCCGCTTCACACAACTCTGTTTCGAACTCTACATAACTTTTTCTCTAGTCATACTTTATAGGCTTGGGGGAAATACTGATAAGACACCACCCTATACATCTGCCAGACTATCTCCTGGAAAGCAAACAAACTGTAACTTTTAAAGACAGCCCCTCACATCTACTCAACTTCAGTGCTGCCCAAGGCGCCTCCATTCCTTGTCCCTTAGCAACAGCCACTGCTGAAAAGCAGAAGCTACCCTTTATCGCTGCCCTGTAGTGACTAGCAATACTTTGCCCTTTCTTCTCTTGGAAAGTAAAATAAAGTTCCTCTCTGCATGTTTTCTTTTACCGGTGAATCCTTCCACACCCCACATCACCAGCCAAATCCTAACAGTATTACTTTATTCAAAGGAGTTAAGTGGATAAATATGAGGGAAATGACTTTGTAGAGGAAAAATAATATTTCCTCCTTCTTTTCCAGATTCTTTGGTTGGCCTAATAATTAAATTGATATAATATAGATTAACAGGGGAATAATAATCAAAAAGTTAGTAACATAACCTAGATATCCATGGAAATGACTCAGAAAAATGGTGTAACTGGCCCAAATGGCAAACACCTTCACCCAAAAAACCACCCTCACCTACAGTCAAAAATGTGTGTGGAGTCAGTCAGCGTAGATTGTCAGGAAAAGCACAGTAAGGATCAGTTGTGGCCCAGTGTGCTGTGCACTGTGGTGAGGGCTTGTACTCAAAAGGACTCTGTTCCAAACCAAAGATCCAGGGTGCAGACAGGGAGGCTGGGAAGGAGAACAAGGCTCCAGAACATGATCCGGGCTGTAGGGAAAACATGGTGAGAGCCATTGTCTCATTCAGCCAATAGGGATATTCAGGACATAATCACATGGCCAATCAGTCCTATGTACATGAATAAGAAATGAACATCCGTCCAATGAGCTCAGGATCATGTAGGACTCCAGCATCACTTCCAAATATTAGGTACCAAAATTCATGTCCAATTGTATACACTCCTGCAGTGTGAATGTCAGTGCCACATAGGAACATCATTTAAAGGGTCAAACTGAGGTATCAAATTCATAACAGTGGATGGGGTCACAGCATGACACCCAACTTGTGGACGAAAGGTGCAGAGACCCAGCCCTAATTACCAAGGTCTCCTGAGGGACAAACTCTGTGCTGGGATCAAAGGGGAGGCAGACAAACAGCAGCTCACTCTGAAAGGTTCCTCTGGAGAAACCACTGCACTGAGAAATGATGGCGTTCCCCTGAACAGAGGGAGGCCAAGGGTAAGGCTCTGAGATGTAAAGGGAATGGGAGGAAACGCATAACTGCAACCATGGAAACAGGAGCTGCAGCTGAGCCACACTGGTCCTCAGACTGTACCTGCTCCAGTGAGGGCTGCTCATCAGTGTTAGAGACTGTGTCTGATGCTGGAGAGAATAATGGCTAAAATCCAGCCCCTTGAATCTGACACTTGTCTGTGGTGTCAACTTGGGAAGCTGGCTTCATTTCTCAGATACTGAATTTTTTCAGCATTTTGACATGAGTTTCCAGTTGCCCAGCTTGTTGTGAGAATTAAAATAGAAAATGCTCAAAAACTAACCTGGAAATCCTGGCAACAAGTACTCAGCTTGTTACTTTTACTGATCTTGGAAGGCCAATGTAAGTGCCATCAATCACCTGCATGTCACATTCAGCCACCTGAGACTCAGGGAGTTGTAGCGAGTCTGCTGGACATTCCCAAGTTGGGCCCACCACAATGAGACCTGACTGCCCACAGGACCTGCCTCCCTGCAGCAGAGTCAATGGCTACTTATAGGTCCCATTTCTCACTAAAATGCACCCAAAGAAAAAGGTGCTTGTGGGCATTGGCAAAGTGAGAAATGTGTGACATGGGAATGTCTCCGCAGGTGAGGTAGAAGTGGCCAGGAGAGGGAGAGAGAGAGAAGCATCAATGATGAGAGAGAATCATTGATCAGCTGCCTCCTGCATGCTCCACACTGGACGTCTTCCCTGGGGCCCAGGCTTGTGCCCTGACCAGAAATTGAATCGTGACCTCCTGCTTCATAGGTCCATGTGGAACCACTGAGCCACACCTGCTGGGCTCTCATCATTGATGTTTCTATCCCTCTCTCTTTTGATCTATGAATCAATAAAAATGTTTTTAAAAAATTAAAATATCTATTAAAAAGTAAAACATTAAAAAATATTCCAATACAAAAAATGTTTATTTCCTACAGCAAAAAAGGCACAAAATTAAATTCCAACAGGCATCTTTGTTGTTCCACTGTTCCTTTTGTTAAAGAAAATTGCCAAAACTCATAGCACATTAGGCAGAACATATGATAAGATGCTTTAACAAAGATACAGACTCGCCCTAACTGGTTTGGCTCAGTGCATAGAGCGTCGGTCTGAGAACTGAAGGGTTCCAGGTTCGATTCTGGTCAAGGGCATGTACCTTGGTTGCGGGCACATCCCCAGTAGCGGGTGTGCAAGAGGCAGCTGATTGATGTTTCTCTCTCATTGATGTTTCTAACTCTATCTCTCTCCCTTCCTCTCTGTAAAAAATCAATAAAATATATTAACAAATAAAAGATACAGACTCAACAAATACATTTCTGAGAAAAGGCTCACCATAAATCCCTAGAAAAAATACAATGAAACAACAGATAGGTAGAATGACAAAATTACAGAATTTATTTAAATAATGATTGACAAACATTTGCTAGAATGTGTAGAAGGTAAATACCTTGCACACTGGTGGGAAAATGCCAAAAGGCACCATCAGTTTATTTTTATTTTCAAAGAATAGTTTATTGATTTTTAAAATATATATTTATTGACCTCAAAAACAAAAGGAGAGAGAGAAAGACCAATGAAGAGAGATTATCATTGATTGGCTGCCTCCTGCACAACCCACACTGGGATTTGAGCTTGCAACTTGGAATCTGCCCTCACCGGGAATTAAACCATGACTTCCTGGTTCATAGGTCAAAGCTCAATAACTGAGCCATTCCAGATGGCTATTTTATTAATTTTTGGTCAGAGAAAAAGAATGAGGGAGAAACACGATGTTCGAGTGCAACATCGACCAATTACCTCTTGCACACCCCTCTTCCAGGTAGCTAGCCCACAATCCAGGCACAGGACCAGCAATCCAACTGATAACACTTCAGTGCATCAAACCAACTGAACCACAACATCCATGATGGTATATTCAGTATAGATCACAAAATGCTAATCTTTGTAAATTTAAACATTCAAATACACCATGACCTAGATTATGTACTGAAAATTTATTTTGACAAAGTTAAATGAAACTTCTATTGATATAAAGAATTATACAGAAATGTTTGTATCAGTTTTATTAGAAACTAAAGGCCCAATGCACGAAATTCACGCAAGGGGCTCGGTCCTCACAGCTGCAGCGGCTTCCCTCAGCCCTAGCAGCCCTGGCTTTGTCTGGAAGGTCACCTGGAAGGACGTACAGAAGGTTGTCTGGCTGTCTGGTCTAATTAGCATATAACGCTTTTGTTATTATAGATAACAAATGATTCAAAAAATGGATAAACTATTGGTGATATATTCAAAGGTAAGAATATTTATCAGAAAAAAATGAGTTACTAATATATCTTTACAAAATTTCCAAGTATTTATGAAACATAAATTAAAGCAGAAAAATACTTAGAAAATGCAAAGTGATCTATTAAAATGGAATTTAAGTCAATGGTTACTTGGAAAGCTGGAAGAACAGGGACAGATTTAAAAAAGGTCATGAAGCAAGTGCACAGTGACAGATATGGTCAGTGTTACGAGTATAATAATGATTTCACTTTCACACACACATCAAGATTTATGAAACGCTATACTAAACACATGTATTTTACTCATTATAGCTTTTAAAAATGGTTCCAGATTAAGAAGTGTGTTTGTTCCACTGTATTGGAAAAATAGGCTTGGCAAATCTATATTCGATCCACCTTCTTATACCCTCTGGGAGACTGTCTTGCCTAGTGACAGAAAATTTAACAAACAATGGAGCACTTTCAACCAAACCAACAAGAATGCTGGCTGGGTCACAAAAGCCACATCCCTGGACTAAAGACACCCTTTACCTTCATCTTTGTTTTTCTGCCAGCTCACCAATGGCTCTGAGGGGAACATCTGAGAGGCTACAGGAATCCACAAAACCTCTTGATGATAACCAATGACAATGACTGCATCCACAGAAGATAAACATGCCTGGAGACCCTAGATGCTCCTATACACTTTTCCTCAGAACATTCCTGGATGCACGTTTCTATGAGGAACATTCCATCTAGTGAGCTGTATTCACCTCCAACACCAATTATGCCAGTGGTTCTGCATGGAAATGGTTTCCGCTAACTGCTATGGTCCTCCAACCAGTTACCATCACCCATGGAAATGTAGGCATTAGGGCACATGGCCCTCTGTAAGACATGGGGAGGAGGTTGCCTTCAAATGTCTTAGCATCTCTTCCTTGAAAACAGGAAAAAAAATTCAGTGCTCCCAGACATACTTGAGGTTGTCACAGCTACCCCCTCTTTGGAGTGATCTCTGTGTCTCAAATCATCCATCTTCACATGAGGACCAGAGAGTCCACAGTGTTTCCTAGGAAAATATGGGCAGCAGTGTAATTTAGGCAAAAACTGCTGAGCTAATTTCTGCACTATACTGTTCCCTCCAGGGCAAAGAATGTTTGAGATCTCAAAAACGTTTCTCACCTCATTATGCTTGGAGAGCCCAGATCTCCTTATAAACTAACCCACATAGTAAATGGAACATCCAAGATTAAAGACGTCTTAGTAAAAAGCATTCATTATTTTACAAACCAAAAGACACATGAGACTGGCAGTTCGCCAACACTAACGTGTTCTACTTGGCAACTCCTGAGAATGAAAAGAATTCAGAATTCCTAAGGGATCAGGTATTCCTAATTTTCGTCAACAAACCAGACAACAGAGTTAGCTTCCCTGAGCACATGAGGATGGTGATCAATATCATCTGTAGGGACCTTACGTGAGGTGCAGGTGAAATACCTTCAGCAACAGAAATACGCAGTGACGATATGGCAAGACATTTGTATGTTAGAAAGTGCAACATACACATATGGTTCAAGTATAAAAAACAACAGCAGAAACACTTGTGGGGACTTTACATAATGTGTTTAAATATGAGATATAATGCAGACAAATTAGACTTTGCAATTTTTTTATGCTATTGTTAAGACCTGAGGAACATATCCTACACAACTAAGAAAAGTCTCACATATGAACACATATGTGTAGAACAAATTTAGAATTTGGATGAGAGATATCTTATGTTAATTGCACTCATAAGGGGTTTCTCCTGTATCAACTCTCTGATGACCATGAAGATAAGTCTTAGTGGTAAAAGATTTCCTCACATTCACTGCATTAGGAAGGCCTTTCTGCAGTGTGAAATTGGTGATGATAATGGAGGCCATTCCAAGTGCTAAAAGATTTCTCACATTCACTGCATTTATAAGGCTTTTCTCCAGTGTGAACTCTCTCATGACGCCGAACCTCACTGCTAGTCATAAAAGATTTCGCACATTCACTGCATTTATAAGGCTTTTCTCCTGTGTGAACTCTCTGATGACAACGAAGATAACTGCTAGTGGTAAAGGATTTACCGCATTGACTGCATTTATAAGGCTTTTCTCCAGTATGAACTCTCTGATGACGGCGAAGATCACTGCTCGTGGTAAAAGATTTCCCACATTCACTGCATTTAGAAGGCTTTTCTCCAGTGTGAACTCTCTGATGACACCGAAGACAACTACTACTGGCAAAAGATTTCCCGCATTCACTGCATTTATAAGGCTTTTCTCCAGTGTGAACTCTCTGATGACGACCAAGATCAGTGCTAGTGGTAAAAGATTTTGGACATTCACTGCATGCGTAACGCCTTTCGCCAGTGTGTAAACTTTGATGATTACAGAGGCTACTGCTCCGGGTAAAAGATTTCCCACATTCACTGCACTCATAAGGACTTTCTCCAGTGTGAAGTCTCTGATGACAATGAAGGCTATGCATTGTCGTAAAAGATTTCCCACATTCACTACATTGGAAAGGCTTTTCTCCAGTGTGAACTCTCTGATGACGATGAAGGGTAGTGTTACTGGTAAAAGAATTCCCACATTCACTGCACTGATAAGGCCTTTCTCCAGTGTCAACTCTCTGATGACAACGGAGGCCACTGCTATTGGTAACAGTATTCCCATATTCACTGCACTCATAAGGGTTTTCTCCAGTGTGAACTCTCTGTTGATAATGAAAGCTAGAAAATTTGGTAAAATAATTTCCACATTCACAGCACAGAAAACACTGACTTCCAGCATGGAAACATTTATCCTGGATAAACGTGTGATTGCAGCCAATGACTTTGTTATATTCTTTTCTTGTGTAGTCTTTTTTTCTCCTTTGAAATTTCACCCCACACTTCGAAATATCTTTTGGCCTGTCCCTAGTCTGAGTAGCCATTAGGTGGAGATGTCCTGCCCAGGAATGTATACCCTGACCAACCTCCCCACACGTGAAATGATTCTGAGACACCTTGAAATTGCAGCTATTTGCAAGTGAGATCCTTTCCACGCCTCTAATGGAAGTCTTCTCTCTCACATGCTGCTGGTGACATTTTGCACTGAAATAAAATTCTTTTGCACATGCCCCACACTTCAACAGTATCTGTCTGTATTGTGTTCCCTGCAGCTCCATCACGTGGAAAATATTTCCCAAGACTATCCCACAACTCTCACAGGGGTGGCTCTTCTGGGAAGACAAGGCTAACTTGGGATTCCTTTCCTGTGACAATCTTACAGAAATCTTCTGTTCAGTCGCTGCCTCCACATTCTCTGCTCCACAGCAGCAACCTGAACAAAAGAAAACGCTGGTGAGGTACATGCTGACCTTACGAAAACAGAATATCTTCACCACAAATGTTTATCGGTCATGACTAGGCCTGATGCCATAGACTCTGAGGAAATGGCTGTTATACACTTCTTGGCCCCAAAGGTCAGTCAATGGTGAAAATCTCCCCTAAGGGAAGGACGGAAGCACAGGACGGACACAAAGAAGAGAGGAAGGGTCTGCTAGTTGTTCCTCCACAAATGGCTTCCGATAGGACCTTTCATGCTGGTGATGTGAGTCTGTGTAGAATAATTCGAATGTGTTCAAACCCATAAAAATCAACTGTATTAGAGCACTTGATGTTCTACCTCAATACAGTAATAGGTGTGCACTCTAAGGCTCTGCAGGCATGGACCAACAGTGGAGGGCACTAAAGAGAGACCTGTGAAAGTTTAGAGAGGTTAGGTTATCCAAGGACTGGGAATCCGAGTAGAATAAGCACTGATCACTATTAAAACTGAGTTGTTGACAAAGTGTCAACAAGAATCAAGGACAAGTAGAATTGGGTGAAAAATGAGCAATGGTACCAAAACACTGTTGAACCAAATGGGTTCCTAGTTATGAATGTAACAAAGCCCAGGTGTAAAAACCTCCCCAACAGCCCTTTACTCAGGCAAGGCAGCCTGTTGATCCACTGTGTCATTCATAAAGTCATGTTTCTACTGTGATGCAGAAATGATTATTCCACTTAATTCCCAGTAGAGCCACTGCACAGGATAAATGATAGAAATCGTAAAAGAAACATTGAAAAGATCGATGGTTAACACTGTGGTACAACAGGGAAGCACAGATGAGATCACAGGCAAAAGAGCTACGGGAGTGACATCAGCAAGAGGGCAGAATCAGAGATATGAGCATCTTTCCCCATCCCAGAGTAAGGAGACAGCTATCCATGAACAAAAACCCACAGGAAATGGGAATAAGAGTACAATGAAGACAAATAGTATTACAGAATACCAAATAAGGACAACTACATAGAATAAATGACTGGAAAGACTAGGTGAACAAATGTACTGGAAGACAGCTAAAGTGAGAAACAACGGTCAGAGTTATCTCTATCAACCACTGTGCTTCTGTTATCATTCACCATAGTGGTCTATTATTCAAAAAATACTGGAAATTTTCTTTTTAAAAATCAAAGAATGGCTCTAGCCAGTTTGGCTCAGTGGATAGAGCATAGGCCTGCAGACTGAAAGGTCCCAGGTTGGATTCCAACACTAGGGTCCCAAATTCAAGTCCGGTCAAGGGCACATGCCCAGGTTTTGGACTAGATCCCCAGTAGGGGGCGTGCAGGAGGCAGCCAATGATGATTCTCTCTCATCATTGATATTTCTCTCTCTCTCCATCTCCCTTCCTGTCTGAAATCAATAAAAATATATTAAAAAACCAACAACCACAGAATACCTTGGCCAGTATGGCTCAGTTGGTTGGAGTATCATCCTGTGACCCTAGGGGTCTCGGATTCGATTCCCAGTCAGGGCACATATCAGTATGCAGGTTCCATTTCCACTTAGGATATGTGTGTACACAATCGATTGATATTTCTTCCTCATACTGATGTATGTTTCTCTATCTCTTTCTCTCTCTCTCTCTCTCTCTCTCTGCCCCCCACCCCCACCTCTCTTCCTCTCTATCTGAAACTGAATATAAAAAATAAATAAGAGCCCTAGCAGGTTTGGCTCAGTGGATAGAGCGTTGGCCTACGGATTGAAGGGTCCCAGGGTCGATTCTGACCAAGGGCACATGCCTGGGTTGGAGGCTCAATCCCCAGTAGGGGACATGCTGGAGGCAGCCGATCAATGATTCTCTCTCATCATTGATGTTTCTCTCTCCTTCTCCCTCTCCCTCCCTCTCTGAAATCAATAAAGAAATATATTAAATAAATAAATAAGAATTCCAAGGTAGCCAAATAAAAAAGGGAACTCAAAAAGGTCTAGGGACAAAGTAAATGAAAAGACTCCTACCAAAGCTCATGTATAAAATTCAGAAAATGCAATTCTCAGAGGAAATTTTATAGGGATAAATGCCTACAATATGAAAAAAAGACCTCAAAAAAATACTGGCACCTCAGAAAACTAGAAACACAACAAGAAAGTAAACCCAAAGATTGAAAAAGAAAGAAACAATAAATATTAGAAAACATAAATAAAAAGAACACAAGACAAAATGCAAGAATACCTAACAGGTATTTTTTGAAAAATACAATATTGGAAAAACTTTAACTACACTAATGGGAAAAAAAACCCCAAAACAAAAACCAAGCCTCAAATAAACTGTAAAGAAATGAAAGTTAAGACATTTCACCTGACACTATGAACCACAATGCATCATAAGAGATGTTGATATTAGCAGATGACATGACCCTCCATAGAGAAATTTGTCAAGATCTATGAGCTTCTGAAATTAATAAACAAATTCAGAGGCCTGGGCAGGTGGCTCACTTGGTGAGTGTGTGGTCCCTATGCACCAATGTTGTAGGTTTGATCCCCCATCAGGGCACATGCAGGGGAGAGCCAGTATTGCATAGATGGGTAGAACAGCAGATTAATGTTTGCCACTCTCTCTTTCACTGTCTCGCTTCCTGTCTTTAAAATCTATATATATAAAAGCCTAAGTGACCAGCTGACAGGCTGACCAGCTGATACCTATGATGTGCACTGACCACCAGAGGGCATATGCTCAACACAAGAGCAGAAACCCCAGGCATGGAAACATGGAACCGACCAATGAATCACAGAGGGAAAGGGAAGAGGAGAGGGAAGGAAGAGATTACCAAGGATATTATATGCATATTAGAGGTCCAGTGCATGGATTCGTGCACCAGGAGAATCCCTCGGCCTGGCCTCCAGGGTTTGGGCCGAAACCACCTCTCTGACATCCCCTGAGGGGTCCCGGAATGCAAGAGGGTGCAGGCCAGGTTAAGGGAATCCCGCCCCCCCCAGTGCAAAAATTGATGCACCAGCCTTCTAGTAAATAAATAAAGGATGGCTAGTATAGCTCAGTGATTAAGCATCAACCCATGAACCACTGGTAGGAGGTCACAATTCAATTCATTGTTCAGGCATATGCACAGGTTGTGAGCTCAATCACCAGTGTGGGTAGTGAAGGAGGCAATCCATCAATGACTCTCTCTCATCACTCCTGTTCCAATCTCTCTCTTCCCCTTCCTCTCTAAAATCACTATATATATATATATACACACACACAGTTTATACAACAAATAAATAGCCCTGGCCCATGTTGCTCAGTGGTGAGAATGCCGGCCTGTGCACTGGAAGGTCACGGGCTAGATTCCCAGTCAAGGGCAGGTACCCTGGCTGCAAGTCTGATACCGCTACCAGTATGGGCAAATGTGGAAGGCAACCAAGCGATGTTTCTCTCTCTCTGTCTCTCTCAATTTTCTCTCTTGAAAAGAAAATCAATGGAAAAAAATATTCACACTACCTGAGTGAAGATAAAAAAAGAATAAAGAATTAAATTCAGCCGAAACCGGTTTGGCTCATTGGATAGAGCGTCGGCCTGCAAGCAGATTAGAATTCAGGTTCTTCTATTAAGCCAGATATTAAAGAGGTTTGCAAGATTGTGAAACAGTACCACTGTTCTCACAAATTTTTTTTGGTTTTGAAAAATTGGTTATTTTTCATAAAATGTTATTGATGTTAACGTAATGATCTTATTTGGGTTGTGTCTCTCTCACATCGATGTTTCTCTCTCTCTCTCTCTGTCTCCCACTCTCTCTCTAAAAAACAGTCAATGGGAAAAATATCCTCACTACTCGGGTGAAGATAAAAGAAAAAAAAAGAATTAAATTCAGAAAAGTTACAGGATGCAAAATAAACATACAAACATTAGTTCCATTTCTACACACTAGTAATAAATTCTTTGATAGAAAAATGAAGATAGTCAAATTTAAAATAGCATGAAAAAAAAAATAAGATAAAATATAAATAAATTTGACCAAAAGGTGGAATATTTATACATTGAACCCAATAATCCTATATAATAAAGAGCTAATATGAAAATGGTCATCACACCCTCGTGCTGTAACGACTCAGACACTAAACACTGGGGAAGGACACGAAGGGGGGGCAGTTGGAGGCAATCAGGCCGGCGAGGGGGCGGGGGAGGGGGACAGTTGGGGCGATCAGGTTGGCAGGCAGAGTAGTTAGAGGTGATCAGACAGGCAGACAGGTGAGAGGTTAGGAGCCAGTGTTCCTGGATTGGAGAGGATGCAGGCTGGGCTGAGGGACCCCCACCCCTGTACACAAATTTTGTGCACCGGGCCTCTAGTACAGAGATAAAAGAAATGGAAGAAAACACAAATAAGTTGAAAGACATCCTGTGTTCATGAATTTGAGAAAGAAATATCGTGAAGATAACTATAGTACGAAAAGCTATCTACAGATTAAATGCAATCCTGATGATTACTCCAATGGTATTTTAAAAAGTAATGAAAAGAGAATCTTGCCCTAGCAGATTTGGCTCATTGGATAGAGCATCAGCCTGGGAACTGAAAGGTCCCAGGTTCGATTCCTGTCAAGGGCACATGCCCAGGTTGTGGGCTCAATCCCCAGTGGGGGACTTGCAGGCGGCAGCCGATCCATGATTCTCTCTCATCATGGATGTTTCTATCTCTCTCTCCCTCTTCCTTCCTCTCTGAAATCAATATATATATACTAGAGGCCTGGTGCACAAAAATTTGTGCACTCGGGGGGGAGAGGGG